AAAAAATTAATTATTTGTGATTCTTTTGGTTTTCCTTACTTTAGTTATGTTTAAATTGGGCTTCTCCATGTATTCTGAAAGAGGTATTGGCATAGCCCCCCTCTTTCCATGTATTTCTCCATTTGTTTTTTACTCCGTAATAAAATCTGGCAAATGTTTCCCGGAAAAAAAAAACTAAACTCTTCCCATCACCTGGGAGCCATTTGTCATGTCACACAAAAATATCTCTCTCAGTGCCTACTTTTGTCCTTGTCCCATCCCTGATCAGATTCTGAGCTTAAAAATACTCCTCCAAATGAAAGAGGGGTTACACCCCAACTTCGGATCGCAAAAAGAACCCTTCGGATAATATCTTGCTTTAAAAACTTTCCCCACAAGTGATTCGGGTTCTGTAACTAAGCGTCGTTTTCCCAACATGACTATATTAAAATTAAATCTCTGACCGACCCATATATTACAATTGGACATCTGAAGGAGAAACATTCGATATGTCTCTTTTACCGCAAACAATGGGAACGTCTCATTATATTCCTGATGTGATGGCTATTTGGGAAAATTATGAACACATGTCATAGAATCAAAGAGTGATGTATGATTTGTTTGGACCTTCAACATTTTCCAATGCTCATTTGACTAATCTTTTTGTCGAACAGACTAGTGCAAGTGAGGGACATAGTTCATATTATTACAATGTTATGCATTGAGCATTAAATTTAGAGATGTGATCAAAATGTGGGTCAAGCTTTAATTTGTACGAAGGTTGTGATGGTCATTCACAATTATCTGCAGTTTCTGGATTTTTGAATATAAATTCTAAATATAGTCTTTCGGAAAATTGAATTTGATGTCAAGAAAATTAGACATTGTTGGTACCTGTTACTTATTAAAACAAGAAAAAAATCGTCTTAGAATCCAATCTTTTATGATTAAAATTCATACACGCTCTAGAGGATTTATGTTGCATGTCTAGAAAATGTGAACATTGTCTGCCTGATACTAATTATTACAACATTATAAAAATTGTCTTGGAATTCGGTCTTTCAGTGATCAAAAGTAACGCAGGTTCGAGATGATGTATGTTATTTTGAAAGAATGGGAGTACCAAAACATCTTAATTACGAAGGTCCAAAATAAATTTCCTATATAGTTGTATTTATTACGTATATCATATGGACTAATCACAAATTTAGAATCCAAAGTAAACTACTTTTCTGTCCCAAACATACCCAGTGTCTCATTTTAAGTCATTTTTTGTTTTCACCAAGTGATTCCGATCTCACTAGTCTAATCATAGGCTATGAAGAACCCACATCAAACCCTTAAGAGAAGTAAACCGGTGTCGCTCGAACAATCCATTAGCTTATCACCGTCATCTATATATACACCGCACACAAGAAATCGTCCTTAACTAACTGGTTGTGTGTGTTGCTTGAGGTAAGATGAAACTTAATTGCGTGACTATTCGAGTTAGGCCTGGGGGGCTAGAGGATCATTGTTCGAGAAAAATCTCTCAAATTCACATCTTTGGTCATCATTTAAACTCGATCAAGACCCCCCACAATATAATAGGAGGATTTTAATTTAAGTGTGGGAAGTAGTCTACTTGGACTACTCCATTTTATAGAGTATTTGTTTATGACATGTAAATAATATTGACCATTGAATGATACACTTAATTAAATAAGATGAAATAATTTTAGAAGAAAAAAATTCTACGTAGAATGATATTATATTTAAAAAGACCTTAAAAGACTCTAGTTGTGTGTTTGGCCAAACAACTTTTGTGAGAAGTCTAGGTCTTTTTTGAGAGGCTAGGCAGGGAAACGTTGAACCAAAAGAGCTTTTCAAAAAAAATCCGTTCCTTGCGTGTAACCCTGCACGTCCCAACTCTCAACTCCCAAGCCTTTCATCTTCTTCAACACCATTATTCTCTGATTTTCTCTCTTCAACTCCCAAGATTTTCAACCTTCTCTTCATCGATCTCTATTTAGCCCATGTATTCATTGATTCGTTTATTTTATTTATTACTCCGTAACTTTTAACCGAAGTGTTGTACTCAATAACTCAAACTTGATAAATTTGGATAAAATTTATGTAAAATTCGAACTTCGTGCTGGTATACTCTGTTTTTGGGCAATCAAATAAATTTTTTGATTCTACCATTGAAACAAACACATCATTGGGTGTTTTTGTCAACAACTAAAATCACTGTACGGAGTATTAAAAATGATTGGGAGTATAAAAAGTGAATGTTTGGATTAGAACAATTGTTTTGCATATTCAATAGTATAAACACGATTATACTGAGTGTCGGTATGCTTTTGTTGATTTATTGGGATTTCCTCTGTTTTTCATTGTCTTGGCTACTATAAAGAGATCGGTTGTAGAAATTTGATTTATGCCCATCCTTGCATACTTATTTTTAATATTTATACAAAGGTGCTTAAAAAGTGTGTTCCATGGTTTTATATTTTTCCCAGAAATTTATTTGTAAGCATTTCATAGAATTAAGTTAACTGATTGAGATTGCTAAAACTAGGCTGTTTTGCTACATTTGCTATTGATTTTATCATTTTTTTAAAGTCTGGTTTGTGGTAAAATTGTTCTTACCCTCTCGCATTTCCCTCTAAATTGAAATTGGCTATGTGCATATATTCTATTTTTTCATTAATTAAAAATATTTGATCATACCCTTAATTGTAATTTTAAAATTTCAGCTACTTGTGACACTTAGTTTTGCCAAACAAGGCTATTTTAAACAAGCAGCTTTCATGAAACAGCTACGGTCTTTTTCATCTGCGAGCTTTTCATCTCAAAAAAGTTAACAGTTACTAAAAAGATCAAAAAAGATCTTCTCAGCTTGTCAAGCCAAACATAACCTTAGATAAAGAAGTTGTATAGGTTAGTTGTACTTGTGGTGAAGCTGTAACTTATTTATATTTAGTTATAGCATAAATGTTTGATGGGCTTACATGCATACACCGTATTTTCTATGTACACTTTCCATTTGAGTAATTATCATCAATTAATACAATAATACGAGCTTCTCAGAACAAAGCAAAAAAAAAAGAGTAATGGGCAACGTCCCTGTGAACAACTCTAGACAGTGGCAGATCTAGAAAATCATAGTTACGGAGTCCCTAAATTAATGTAACTCTCATTATTAGTATAAAATTACAGAAAAATATTAATAAGCATAACGCATCATGAAAACATTAAGATAATATAAAGAAAAAATTACATATAAAAGTCATTAAACAATTCTACAAAAGTTCCCTCCTAGGTTTCATTTGTTGGAAATATTCTATAATATATAGGTCCACCAACATGTACATAAAATCTCTTTTTTATTCCATGCTGAAAATCCTATTCACAGAAAATGATTACCACTAACTTCCCACTCATTCCTAAACAAATAACACGGTAAACAAAATGCAACATCTTTGACAATACTGTATTCCAACCATTTATGCTCATCAAACCAAATTGCTACCACTTCTCTACTCACCAATTTAGTTATAATGTCGCATATGATATATATGTATATATATACATTTTATATATAGGTAAATTTTGTAAAATACATATACTTCCTCTGTCCCCCTAACTTTGTCCCCTTTTACCTTTTTGTCCGTCAGATTAAGTTTGTCTCATACCATATTTGGTAACATTTGAGGGGTTAAAATTCATTCTTACTTTATTCACACTTTATCAATTCAATATCAACCACACAATTCTACTTTTTATTAAAAACCACACCACACCCCTTTGTCCCAAACTTAGGGGGACGGAGGTAGTAATATACTCCCTCCGTCCCAAGTTGTTTTGCAAAGTCAACATTTTTTGGTCAACTAATAATAAAAGTCAATGCTCCGTATCGATAATTAATTCAATTTTAATAATTAAAATTTATATATTTAGAAACTACATTAAAATCTCTTCAAAGTTGTAAACTCCAAATTAGAATACAATTAAAATTGACATCCTAATTAAGCGAATAAAATGAAACTGTTTGATCAAGAAAAGTCAAATTTGCAAATCAATTCGAGACAGAGGTAGTATACAGATAATTTTTTCAAAAACCACAGAAACCCGGGACCTATAGGACCCTTAGTGGGTCCGCCAATGTCTCTGGATACTTTAATTTTCTACAAGATAATGATATGTACTTTACAAGTCTTCTAAGCTAAGCATTGCAAGCCCGGAAACAAAACTTGATGTACGCGTAGCGCCGTAGCTTGTAAGTTACTCCTCAAAAGTGCGTTAGACCACATAGGCAATATGTAAATTGAGTACTTATTAATACTCCGTAATATTTATAGCCTCAATCATGTAGGCATGTCAAAAAAAACAACCCGCAATGATCCGCCCTGGCCCGAGACATTTGAGGCAGGTCCGGTTCGTCCCGTCTCGAAAATGGGGCGGGTCTGCCCCGTCCCGCTCATAGAATGGAACGGATTCGGGTATTAGTATTGACTCGTGCTGCCTTGATCTGCTCCGCTCAATATATAAGTACACATACTTTTTTAAATCATACTACAAATATACTTTACATACATATGTGTATATATAATAAATCATAAATTTTTGGTCTTATAATATACTTCATCCGTCCCACTAACAATGGGACAAGAGGAAGTGACACCCAAACTAATAAAAAATGGTTTATGTGGTTGATATTGAATTGATAAAGTAAGAATAAAGTAAGAATGATTTAGACCCACACAAACTTTACCAAAATCGGTATGGGACAATCTTAGTGGGACGGTCCGAAAAGGTAAAATGGGACAATCTTAACGGGACGGAGGGAGTATTAATATTTATATTTGAATGAGATGAATGGTGAATTATCAATGTCTTATATAACATTTTAATTTATACATTCTATTATTAATATAAATAGATTGATTATTCAAGTCTAAGTACTTTTTTCTTAATTTTTTAAGAAACATGTTCACAAAAATTGGTATGCATAAACTAGACTTGAAGAGTAACATGTCCACAAAAATTTATCAAACAATTTCACCGGGAAGACCCTCAAACGAAAAGTCCGCGCGGCCCTCCCTGTCAGCACCTGACAGGATAAGTTCTCTAGACATAATTATCACAGGTCCAATAGAGTAGTGACATAAAAATATGACCCTCATAAAAGAGCAACATGAATCGCTAACCACGAAACGGGATTGACACAATTATCACTGGTCCAATAGATCCTTATACTTTTAATGACATAAAAATAAGCTAAAATAAGATTAGCAACAAAAACTTTAGCAAAAAAACAAACAACAAAATAATACTGCCTCCGTCCCATAAAATAAGTCTCATTTCAATTTGGATCGGAGTTTAAGAAAATGGGAATAAAGTGGAAATGTATGATTGTGGTTGAGTAAGAAAAAAGTAAATGAATGTTAGCCACACAAAACTTTCCAAAAAGGAAAAATGGGGACAATTTTTTGGGACGGCCAAAAAAAAGGGACTTATTTTATGGGACGCAGAGAGTAATAAATAATAGAAAAAGTTTCTCGAACCCTAACACGTCGTTCAACCCATTTCGGTGGTTCAGGAGGAGTCCGGATTATCAGTACTGTTGTGACTTCCATCACCGGCCAAACTCTGGACCGCCATATTCATCTCCATGTGCTTTTGCACGTCACCGTCAACAATCCCCAGTTGTAGTACTCTGTATCGATGACCCAAGACCTATGAAGCATTCATATTTCCAAATTTTGAAACTCCAGCAAGCAGAACAATCTCAATCCAATCGAGAACATAAAACACGATCCAGAAACCAAATCTAACTCATAGATCCCAATCCAATCCACACAAGTAGATTCAGCTATGCAGGGGCCACCCAAACTCGATAGCTATGATGAATTTGTTACCTTCAAAGAGAACACTATTTTCACTACTTTACAAAGAGAAGAAATGTTTAAATACTTTTTAGTCCCTATAAATATAATACATTTTGTTTTACATCCTTGCAAAATTACTTTTTTATTTTGGAAAAAGAGTCAAATAAGATCTTCAACTATTATGAAACTGTCAGATAAGGTCATGTACTCAATAAAATGTCATATAAATACGTCTACTTATAAAAAGCAATCAAATGAGTCATAACAACCTTTTGACATCCTCATAATCTCGGTTTTAGCTTACATTAATTACATTATTTACCTTAAAGCAATCCTGACTAATAAGTTTCCTCTAATTCTTTGTCCTGATAACATATGTTAAATATATGATTAATTAGATTAACATTATTATAACTCTCATATTACCCTAAAAAGCTTATAAAAAATAAATTTAAAAATTTCTAGTAGATTTATGGAACTGATAAACCTAAAAAATTGCAAGGACAAAAATGAACTTTTAACTAATTAAACATAAATTGATCACATTTTTAGGAAAAAATAAAACTTGTCCATTTTTCTTACTAGTATCATTTTTTAAAAGATATTTTATTTAATAATTTGTTTTTATGAAAGCCAATTTATCAGGTCTGGATTGGATTCAGTGTCTTACGGTAGAGTGCCTTGCCCAAATAAAGAGTAGGGATTGAAAAGAGTCTCAAGAGTAATGAAAAAAGTGGGCTCTTTCACCTCGGGTGGTTGTAAATGATGAGGCACTCTACCTTTAATTTCATTAGCCCTTTTGATTTGCTTGAAACAAACTGAGAACATGAGAATGACATTCAATTTAGGAAAAAGGTTGAATAAATCGTTCTACTATTTCTAATCCATCATTAAACCCTCATACTAAAAAAATATCATATAAGTACGTTTACTTTTGAAATACAATCAATCGAACCCTTTGACATGCTATAGTAGGTTATTTAAAAAAATTAGGAATATTGATAAATCTTAAAAAATTCATATAAATTTAAATAATAAATCTAATAATAATATATAAAGTATAGATATAAAAATACATAAAATTTTAAAAACATTAAAGTAAAAAAAAATATAAAACTCAAAAAATAATGTGAAAATAAAAAAAAAACTTTAAAAACCTTTTAAATAGATGTCAAATATACAAATATTTTTTTTGATCGCAAATATACAAATATTTTTAAAAATAAAAAATAATGACTTTGATATTCTGAACATTTTCACAATTTTTGTATATATTTCTTCAAATTTTAACATTTTTTTTAGAATTTTAAAGTATTAAAACCTAGTATGACAGGTCAAAAGTTGATTAAATGATCAAATTGATCCATTTTGTAAAGTAAGCGTACTTATATGACACGTTTTCTAATACGGGGGCTTAAATGTCGGTTTGAAAATAGTATAAAGGCTTATTTGAACCTTTTTCCTTCAATTTATAATTTGTTCACATTTTAAATGTATTGTGGAATTGTAATATTTCAAAATGACGAAATATATACAAACATATGATGTATTTTCTTGATAAAAACAAGAAATATAACTATGATATATGCTTATGTAACATATCCATCTCAAAACTAATTTGTGATTGTGATCTTATAGATTCAACTTTTAAAATAAGGAAACTTTACTAAATGTCATTATATTTGTTCAGATAAGAGAAATATATACTTGTAATTTTCCAATATCAACTAGTTACACTAGTTTGTTATGTCATGCAAAACCATTTACAACGATCAGCCTTTATCTCAAATAATAATAAAAATCATTTACCAAGTGTAGGCAACTAAAATAGAAACGGTTATCAAAACGTTTAAAAAATATCTTGAGTTAATTGGGCTAAGACATACACATATCCTAAAGGTCACACCGCAAAGTTACTAGTTAGAAATTTGAATATACATCCAAGGATTATTAAGGATACACAAATAGTGTGCGTTAAAAAAAACCAACTCTGAACTTGTTACTAGGAACATAGTGAGTTAGTGACATGCCCTCGCCATTTAGAATTGGATGGAAGTTCAAAGACATTTCACAAAGTAGCAACTTGGCATGTAGATAGATCACAATCATTTTAGTCTGACTGGAGCAAGGAACAGGGAAGAAAAGAGTCATTACAAGTTTATTCCATTTCGAAGTGGCCACAAGCATCCTTCTGTGCAATGAGCCAATGATGTCAACCATGTAGTTTACATTCGACGGCTTCTTTAACCTGTGAGGATAAACACAGATACTGGTAAAAGGTGTGAAGTAGGGATGGACTCGGACCAGGTCAACCGGCCCGTAACTGGCCCAACGTGGCACCGTTTCGAACCGGCCCGACCTGAGGCCCAGTTCCGGGCCGGGTGTAATATACCCGAACCGCAAATATTCAGGGCGGGCTCCGGGTCCCCAAATAATGAACCGGGCCGGGGCTGGTTCGGGCCAATTTTTTTTCTTTTTTACACAATCTTTTGAGAGGTAAATGGGTTGGGCTGGGTGTTTTGGAGGGGTTTGGAGTGGGGGGTAGGAAGTAATTAGAAAAAAAAAACTAGGTAGCCGGCCCGGCCCGGCCCGGACCAAGTCCATGCCTAGTGTGAAGTACTACCAACTACCTTTGTGTGCATGAGAGAGAGAGAGAGAATAATACCAACAACAATCAAGATGATGCCTTGATCTCCCTCTTCATCAACTCAGCAGCATAACTTTTAACCACTCGTATGTTCTAAGTAGTGAAGGACTTGCCAACGTCTTCATGAGTCGGGATATAATTATAAACAGAAAAAACTGACATTTAAGTATTTAACGAAGGAAGAAAGAAGGATATCTTCTCATCATGAATGGGATGGTTGAGCATCAGCAGCTTATTGTTATTCACAATAGACCGAACTAATAGTTCTTTCGCCTCCTCATGCATTTTCCGAAGCATGTTGCATATCTGCAGACAGCCAAAAATTATTTATTTACTTTTAGACAAGGCAGTCACTTAACCCCTATTACTGCATAATATCTTAACACAGCAGTTCATGAATATTCAAAGATGATTACATCTTCAAGTGCCTTCGTATATGTTTCAGCCTTTTCTACATTATCATCATCTTTCAATGTTTGAAGGGCTCCTAATTCTTTTCTGTTCACAGGCTTATGAATATCAAGTGCAGATGGCGGAGAACTTTTACATTCATCTCTCTGGCTACAGATGGTCTGGTCCTCTCTGTAATTGTCCTGTAAGTTATGAGAAAAAGTAAGTTGGTTCAAACCATATGAATTGTCCACCTAAATTTGTATGGGCAGCTTACAAGAAGGAAGAATTGGAGTTTGCACCCCATTTTTCATTATTTATTCAAATTTATAGGTGTTAACATTGTTTAAATTGCACCCAAACAGAATGCACCCAAAGAGTTCACACCTGGTTTTAAACCTTGTTAACGGATTATCCTAAAGGTGGAGTGCATATATTACTAATTTCAAAGAATTGTCTCGAGCATCTTAATGAATGTTTCCTTTGAGAGTCACCTTTTTGGCAACAATTCTTTCTGAAATTGCACAAATATCCCTGTTTCCATTTGTTGGTGATTCTGGGGGATGCTTAAACGGACTAGTCATTATCAATCCTCCCGTACTCTGCAAAATTCATGATGAAAATATAATTAAGCGACATTAAATTTGTGAGGATTCTATAATCACACCCTTGTAGAAGCAGAACTATTTCAAAAGAACTGTTTCAAAAGGAACTATTTTTAATGATGCAACCGTGCAAGCTGGAGAGTTTGGAGTTCATTTTCATTTACCCAGTGCCGCAAAGGCTCCCACCTACGGTGGGGTAAGGGGGGGTCGGATGTACGCAGTCTTACCCGTGTACTAAACTACTAAAGCACAGAGAGACTGTTTCTGGACAGTTTGGAGTTATCCTTGAAAATAACAAACCTCGGGTCTTTTCCGTTTTAGAGGTGTGACGTTTGTCTTCTGTGTGGTTGTGATAGAACTACTAACTTTAGCTTGTAAAATAGACTTTAGACCAGTGTTATGATCATAGTGCCTTGAGGTTTTGTCATCTTTCAGCAACAAAGATTGAGATACAGAAAGACTTGCTCCCAAATTTCTGTATTGGCAGAAATGGTTCATAAAAGAATAGCATACGGAAAATATTCACATGAAAGAATAGCATACGCAAATTAAACAAGTCAAAACAAGATATGTGTACAAGTACTAAAGTCAGATATTCAATGTAATACTTGGAAAGGTTTTGGCTAGAGGAATCCAGTGTCTGACTGCCTCCAAATTTTGGGCTAGAGGATTCCAGTGCCTGACTGCTAGCTTTAGTAGGACAGGTTTTGTTGCCACGAACAGGAATGTTCTTTGCTGTTCCAGAAGAAACAGAACTTTCTATGACTCTTGGGTTGTGTAGCATGGATTTACCTTGCTGGCTTATACTCAAAGGCTTGACATGAGAACTGACGAAAAATATTCTCATGAGTGATAAGAAATTATACATATAAGCATTTGCTAATACTAAGCATGTTAAAGGACATATAGAGTTTGTAACATAGATGTATGCAAACAAGAAATAAACAAGTATAATTAGAGGAAAAGGTAAGCAGTGGGAGTAGCTTTAATACAGAGATTCACAGGAATCCTGAAACAAATTATCATTGTTTACCAACCAATGGTGAGTAATCAAAAGGCTGTCAAAAGGATCCAGTTCTTGTTACCAGGTGAAGCACGTAATGAATGGAAGGCAATATAAGCACATTAGCTCTAACAGAAAAGCTATTTCTTTACAAGAGATCCAAGACGGTCAAGTGCAGTTTTATTCTTTACTCCTGGTTATAAACTGTTAGCGGCTTGGTTGGAAGTTGAAGAGAAGGTAGAAAAGCTATGGTGATCGGAATAATAGCTCAGCTTCCAGCACTAGGTCCCGTGGCCCGCCAAGTGCACAAGAGAATTGTTGTTCCAAATGATGATTTATTATCCCAGATAATACGCATTAAATGTGCAAAATACTTGAGTTTCAAACACAACAAGAAAAGAGAGATGTCATACTATAGCAACTCACAATAATAAAAGACTTAATGTAATAACGAAAGCTAATAAAAGGAAATAACTGATAACTTGGTGCACGCTTCAAGAAAACCCGGGTGGTCCTTCTTGAGGTGGGGGTACTCTTGGCCCATAGCATGAACAACACTGATTTTAGATATATAACCTGAAGGTATCAATACTTCAATTATTGTTCCTACTTCTCCAACTTTCTATAAAAACAGATTTGTATATGGTTCCAAGAATCATTCTTCGTTGAGACCCTAATGTCATATACTACCTCAGTCCCACTAACATTGGGACATGAAGAAATGACACAGTTGTTAACAAAAGTGAGTTGATGTGTTTGGTATTGAATTGATACAGTAAGAATAGAAGAACAATGATTTAGAAACGCACAAACTTTACCAAATTTCATATGGGACAATCTTAGTGGGACGGACTGAAAAGGAAGGATGAGACAATCATAGCATGACGGAGGGAATATATGATATAATTGACGAGAGTTTGACCACTAAACGACTTATGCTAGCAGTCATGAAATTGCTCAAGCTCACAATTAATAGTTTCGCAAACACATTTCTTGAATAAAAGTGAAGCTAAACCTTAGTATATGAAAACGCTTGTCAATAACGATCTTACATGTTAGCAGAAAGACCTATAAAGCTGTCTTGGCTTCCTGTCTGAAGAGTGCTAGTCTTGGATTGTGGTCTCGATCCTGGCAATGTGATACCAGCTTTCTTCCCATTTTCATCATCTTTACGATATGCCCTGTGAAGAATATTTTATTGAAATAAATTACATGTTAAGAATTTCTTTTATCAGGGTAAGTTTCCCTTACATTCCTTTATCTGAATAATTTGGTTGGCTTGAGACAATTCTTTTGCTACCAACTTCAGAAACTTTTGTCTGCAACAATGATTTCTTCTGCTTTTGCTCATTAGTCTCAATTGATGGCATGAAAAACTTTGACCGGACGGTGCTACAATCCCCTTCTGCTTGCATCAGATTTTGAACAGATCCACTGCACAACTATGTGCCATTAACAATTCCAGATCAACACATTGCAAACCAAAGTTTTGCAATCGTGTTTCATAATCTATGCATAAATTTGCATTGGTTCAATTGCTAGACCAATTTGGAATACTAGGTCCAATAATCACTTTATTTGGAGTTTTTATCACATAAAGGCAATAACAACAGTTCCATTTGTAATTCAGAATGCTTTGTTAATTTGCAATAATCAGCAGGACAGTCAAATACGAAGTAGTTTTCTACCTGCTTGACGGGGGTTTTGGTGGCTTAGAAATAGTTTCTTCCATCTCCATATTAACTAGTGTTGAATGGACATCCTTCTTGGGACTTGCAATATAAGTACATCCAGGGTGTGAACCGTTCCCTTCTATATTGCTAACCAAAAGATGTTTGTCTTTCTCAAATTTGCCACTTTCCTGAACAGCTTCCTGTGATGCATTCTTGTGATATCTAGTAAATCCTGCAGGCATTGTCTTATCCTCATTTGAGTCCAGATTACCTACGTGTTCAAAATCATCTGTATATGAAGAATTGATATTTTCACCCATGGAACCAACTTTTTCCAGCAAGTCAGAACCTGCTTTGCTGTTTGACTTGTGTCCAGAAGAATGGTCAAATACATCTGGTGTGGCTTCAGGAGCAACTAATTGTGGAGAGGTTCCCTTCTCTATTTGCAACTCTGTTGGTTGTGTGTTTGTAGATGCATTCCTTTTTGGTGAGGTTCTTGTACACAATAATTCAGATGCATGAGTAGCGGTGGTGACAGATATTGACGTGTCATTGTTATTTGCAGTACGCTCTGAAGAAAAATTCTTCCTTATAGAATCAGGAGTAAGACCACTATCAGCTGAAGAATCAGCTGTTGAAGTCATCTCCATCACGGAGTGCTTTTTGGGTGAGCCAGCGTCAAGTACACCAACATCTTCAGTCAGATGGACTACAGAGCCTTGATGTGCACTTGTTTCAGAAGAACCTTCAATTTGTAGATCCTTCTTACTTTGATCTTCTTTCCTTGGGCTTGACTGAAGACTAAAAATGTCCAACCTAAGCCCCACAAGATGAAGAAGATGGAGAAAGGTGATTAGCACCGCTATGTTTTCTAAAGTACGAGCAGCTTTGGCAACACAAGAAGTGTGAAGTTCTGACTTACTCCTTAAAATCAAAGTGAAAGTTAAAGCCATCTGTCTTCCCCTTATTACTGGCACCAGAAGATTCTTTGGGTTTCTCCTTTGACTTTGAATTTTTCTTGGATGGAGAAGAAATATCAAGGTCTGACATGTCAATATTGAAGGACGGCATCTTGCTAAAATCACTGTCAAGATTGAAATTCATATCCCTGTTGAAAATTTAATATATTAGATTATTATATGTCGACCTTACTACAAAACCAAGTATAGTAGTGAGATGGCTCAGGATGCACAGAAAACCGCGATAAATAACTAAGAATAAGGCTGATGTAGAATAGAAACTGGAAGCACAAGAAAAGATTTGATGGTCTACCATCAAGATACAGAGTTCCCAGTTTGTGTTGTGCGCATAACCTAGCTTAGTAATGCATATATGAGATCACCTCTACATCTTACTATCTTAGATACATACCAGCCCAACACATTAATGAAATTAAGTATAGGAATGATAGAACTATGCAGCAATTACTCTTGGTCAAAGTTGAATGCTTTTTTCTTATTCTTGGAAATAGGCCCAAAGTCAAAATCCATGGCATCATCCCCAATTGAAATGGACTTCCATGAGTTCAGAAAGTCGTTTCCAATGTCAAGATCTGTAGCAAATATCATGGAAAATCATAACTATACTGCACCAGAATCGATAGACAACAAGAAGCAGAGAGAAAACATTTTGTAGACTTTTCAATTTAAAAATATGCAGTTTGTTATTCTTCTTCAATAGTTTACACAGCCTAGCATACCATTTTTTTCAGGCCAAGGCATTTTATATGTTTTTCCTGCATATGCCAAAATTTGTAATCCAAGGTTATGCCAAATGTACCAGACACCGGAATTCGTCCCCCACACAGACATCCCGATAAAATCTACGAAACTGGAAAACCCTGCAGAACTCTATTTCTTCAAGAGTGAGGTTTCAATGAGAACAAGCATATAGGATATCAGAATACCTAGCAATGAACTTTTCTCTTTTGAATTGGCAGATGAAGAAGCTCTCTTCTCAGTCTCTGCCATCTGGGATAGAGATTTTAAAACGTGATTTAAAAATCATAATTATTTAGTTGTGCAGTGGCTATATAAGGCATCAAAATACTGGTGCACATATATAGCCGAGTAGCCATTCAGCAAACAAATAAGTGAAAGCAAAACAATATAGGACCCCCCCCCCCCCCCCCCAATAAAGCAGTGTAGTTCTAAGGATTCAGATGAAATAAAAATGTCAAGTGCAAAACTGTCACAATTATACAAAGATGACCAAGCTTCATCCTAACTAATCTTTTCAACAGCCACTAATGCTACTCCAATTGTTTAAAGTGAAGCAATGACCTCATCTAACTATAAAAATATCTGTTTCCCTTTTCTTATGATGGTTAAATGAAGCAGGAGGAAAAAGAAACATATGGGCAACAAAACCATAGCTCCAAAAGCACCAAAAATAATAGACTGAAGACAATATGGGCAACATTTGGCAAGGCAATCAAGCCATGTTGAAATTTGAAACCTTCTCTCCACTTTGATTTGTCCAGAAGAAGAGATAACATTTAGAAAAGGCCAGACGTTTTACACAGCATTACCTCTCAGACACTCATTCAAAGGTGGAAAAGTTTCAGAAGAACTAGTCATAAATTAATTTAGCTGAGAACAATTTTGTTGTTCACTCGAATGAAAGTTCACATCCTAGACACCTAGTATAACAACACACTTTCTGACTTGCATATACTTGATCAAACATATAAAAATGATGACTGAAGTAGACAGAGATACCAAAGGAATACTCAAAAAGTATAAAGCATAAGCAACTATCCAGTATGTCACTTTAATGTTTTAAATGAACAGGTAGGAACTCTCCTTCAAATTTATAAGATCCAATTTCACTTCATCATGTTGAATATGTTTCACTTTACTCACTATCTTCAATCAAATCCTGAAAAGCTGTTCTGAACAAACTAGGCAGGGGCGAATCTAGCTTTTCAATCCAGTGGGGACCTAATTTCCATATATACAAAATAATTTCAATTGCAACAATAGAGTAAATACAAAAATAAATAGTATAACCGTTTTACAAGAGTAAAAGTGTTCACCAAATTCAAATACAAAATAAAACATCACAGAATCTAACTTGTTATCTACAGGAAAGTTGTTCACATTTATCGAATACAAAAAACACATCCATATTATTTATGTTGTTTTCTCATCACTTCTATTTGATAGGTCCAAAGTATGTCTTTCAACCAATATTCATTACCTATTTCAACTCTACAATAATCCACCACATTATTATTATATGATAAGTCAGAACTCAGAAGTACTAAAAAGGTCCTCGTAACAATAATACTTAAAACAATGAGATTAATATTAACACACCAGCTAATGAGAATATGGTGTTAATACTGAACAATGAGATTAATAATCACAATTTTCAATCACATTAATAATAATGGGATTAATACTCAAAAATCACAAGTCACAGTTACACTAATACTAATTGGACTCATACTGAACAACGAAATTTAATATATTCATAGGATGATGAGACAGTAACAACAATAGCTAAAAAAATAAGAGCTCTTATTCACGGTCAAAGCAAGTACTCAAAAGAAATGTAAGATAAAGATGAAGCTAAAAAGTAAGAACAAAAGAAAAGGAAGAAATCTGAAACAAACTAAAAACTAACGTGAATTTTGAAGTCCTAGCGCCGAGTAGTAGAAGACGAGTACGCAGCAGCGGCAGGGAGTATGCAGAACGGAGACGGTGGGCCGCGGGAATGCGTGATGGTGTCGCACGGCGGAGGATTCAGGCGGCGTGACCGAGTCAGGCACTCAGCGATGGACTAGTCCGGGCGACCAGCGTGACCGACTAGATTGCAGAGCCGAGCAACGGAAACGAACTGATTATGGCGATCAGGAGTTGCACATGCGAAGAGCGTGCGTTTATTAGGCGATGAGAGTAGGCCGGTCGCTTTCTTTTCTATTTTTATTAAAGTTGGGCTAATAGAGGCCCGTGTGTAGGTATTACCGCTTTTTAATTATTTTCAATGTAGGCCCGGGCCCTTACTGGCCTTAGGCCCGATCCGCCCATGAACATAAGCATGCTACAATATGACCCACGTTTTTCATGAATATAAAAATCCAAAAGTTAATGAGATCTTCAAATTAATAACACTATTTAAAAATCACTTTAAAAATAAAATGATTAGTAATCCCTCATACAATCAAATTATACAGTTTAGTTAAAAATAACGGCATGTTTAATTTGACATAAGATTCATATATGTGTGCCTAGTTCTGTAGTTCAGAAAAACAAATACTAAGATTTAAAACAGTTTCATCCTAAAAGGTAAACCTGAGAGGAGAATGAGGAGAATGAGGAGAATATCTTTATATTGTGGTATAGTGGTTCATATTTTAACCGTATGAGACAAATACGTCAATGTTACCTTCACTACAAGAAAACTAACTTTTAGCTACGAAATTTAGTGACGGGTAGGAAAATCCCGTCATTAATGATACATTTGTAAACCTTTTGTGAGGGGACAAAATTCTCTAACTAAAAAAATTACTTTTAATGAGAAATTTGTTAAAGGAAATTACTTGTAGTGTGCTGTCATTATAGATAGAATATCCACTAATATATTATGTACCGAGCTAATGGGCCCGAGAAGCTCAACCCTTGTGTAAACCTAATTCTCCTATATTTAAAGAGGGTCTACCTATTGGAATAACACACCTCTCTCACTTCCCTACAACACGTTATCAGCACGTAGCCCTAAATTTTTCCACGCCTCCCTCCTCCAAATTGCCGCAGCAGTCCGCACGCCTCCCTCCTCCAAATTGCCGCAGCAGTCCGCAGCCTCCCTCCTCCAAATCGCTGCAACAGTCTAACCAGCCGTCCAGCCAAGCCGCAGCACCACCGTTGTCCGCCTACGGTCAATTTCCGATTACTATCCATCGAGGTAAAATCCATCCCCGATTGAAACTTTAATTTCAAACTGTGTTCATTGATCTAGTTGGCTAATTCGAATATATGTTCGAAATTTTTATGCATCCTAGTTGGCTAATTTTAATTTCAAACTATATAATCCTATTGTTGTTGATCTTAATTCGATTGTTTGATGTTATGCCGATTCATTTTTTTTGGAGATCGCGATGCAATTTTTTATTATAATTCCGTAATGCTATATGATATAATCATATAGTTGGAATCAATATCACATTATGCATCCTTCTTCCTTTTTTTGTACATTCATGTGATCATATATTTCCGTAAAGTTATATGTCATATACATATAGTTGGAATCAAAGAACACGCGAATTAACCATATTTTACTTTTACTTTATATGATTATACTCTCCGTAAAGCTATATGTTAAATACATATAGTTGGAATTAAAATCATATTATGCATTTTTTTACTTTTACTTTATATGATTATACTCTCCGTAAAGCTATATGTTACATACATATAGTTGGAATTAAGATCATATTATACATTTTTATTTATTTATTTATTTTATACATATTATGTGGTTATATTTTTCCGTAATGCTATATGTCACTTACATATAGTTGGAACCGTAATCACGTAAGATTACTCTTTTCACTATTTAATATATGTTTAATATTCCTTTCCATCTATATTAATATTTTTTCCCCATATGCGTATATTTAATTAATATGCAAAGAATATATTAACATATATATGACAAGAATCTAAAAATGAAAAGTGTGAATCTTCTTTCAAAATTTATTAACATATAAAAATATCCTTCTAAATATATCATAATACTAAATAATCAATGAAATCAATTTTTTTCATTCTATTTAGAAAACCGCCACCTTTAAATCAATATATATGACAAATCTTGACTTTACTATTCCATTTTTTTATGCACATTTATTATTCATAACATACAATTGACACATGCATACACCCACACGCATAATAAAATGTTACGTGTGTATATATATGGTTGACTCATGTACATGCCTTTTCTTTATACTTCTAGACTATATTTTCATGTCAATTTTTTTTAAACTTGCCATTTGTTCACACCAATAAAATTATTTAACGAAATATGAAGCAAATTTATATATATTTTCATTTTTTTTTTAGAAAATTCAATCTCATTCCCGAAATTAATAATAAAAAAAACGAAAAAAAAACTTCAATTTTTGGTAATCCGCATATACGAAGCATTTTTTTTAATATATGCATATTAAATTACTACTATGTTATTAAATTCGTTTTTACAAATTAATTTTGGATAACTAAAATTTGATAATTAATTATTTTTGATAATTCGAAGTTTGTTTAAAAAAAATCGAAATTTTTGTCAAAATATACTATTTAAGTTCGAAAAAAAATGATAATTAAATTCGTTTTTAAGATCCATTTTTTATATAATTAAAATATATGGCAAAATATATTTTCAATAATTCAACAATATAAATAATATTACTAAAAGGATTATTAAATTCGTTCTTTTTTTTCAAAAAAAAAAATGAGATATACCTAATCCATTCATTAGACCAATATTAATATTTTATATATTAAACACACCATATAACATCCTAAAAACAATCTCTATGATTTTTTTGAAGGAGATAAATATATATCTCCTCTCTTCGATGCATTATACAAAATATTGTCTCCAAAGAGACATACCACATGACATTGTTTTTATGTGATAAAGAATTTTCACACAAAGAATCGCAGTTTTTTTATTCATTTTTTTAGCGATAAATGGTAGTGAATGACACTCATACAATTTTATATTTTAAGATGACTGATCCAACTCGACCCGAGTTTGACATCCTGGACTCAGAAGGACTTAAGTACCATCGCTGGGTTTCTGACATAGAAACCACTTTTGGGGCTAAAGACTATTCCGCCACGCTTGCCGACCCTGAAAGATTAAAAGATAATGCACCGTCTGAAAAAATAAAGGTTGTTGCTTTAATGTTCCTTAGACGCCATATTGACTCTAGCTTACGCTGGGAATACTTACAATTGAAAACCCCCAAAGAACTGTGGGACGCACTAAAAGGTCGTTTTGGGAACATACATGACACATTGCTCCCCGAACTGACAGTGCAATGGAATGAAATCCGCTTAGTCGACTACAAAAAGATCAACGATTTTAATAAGGACATGTTACGCCTCAAAGCGCGCCTTAATTTCTGTGGTAAACCAATCACAGAAGATGAAATGATTGATAAGACCCTCTCCACTTTTCCTACCTCAGCACTTATACTAGCGAACCAGTATAGGTTGGAGCATAATAACAAAAGAATAACCACATTTAATCAGTTAATTAATTTGCTCCAAGTTGCTGAAAGACAAAATCAAGTTCTCTTGAATAACAATGCCATACCAGTTGGGACAAAGAAAATTTCCGAGGTCAACTATGGCAAAGCAAACACTGGAAAGCACCCTAGTGGAAGAGGAGAGGGTCGTACTCGAGGAAGGGGGCGCAACAATCGCGGCGGGCGTGGAGGCCGAGGTACGGGCCGTGGAGGATTTTCCAAAGTGTGGAAGAAAGATACAAGCGGCGGGATCAGTGGTCAAACTAACAAGGCCCATAATGCACCATCAAAACCTCCAGTCAAACGAGACCGAGTTGGGGAAGAACCATGCTACAGATGCGGAGTTTCAGGTCATTGGTATAAGAATTGTCAAGCCAGTAATAGAGTTGCTGATGCCTACAAGAAATACAGAGAATCAAAGGAGCATGAATCTCAGATTGTGACAGACGAATGAAATGAGGTTGATGTTAACCTCACAGCGGCGGATTTTGGTGTTAAAAATAACACCACCCATTCGGTCGATGCACCGGACTTTGATTAAATTTCCCCTATCCCACCAGACATTTTAAACAAACTTTATGTTTTTCCCATTCCTTTTAATTTCCTGCTTATGGACATTACATGCTTATTGTTATTTTAATAATTGGATTCAATTTTTGAAATCCAAATATATACCAACAATTATCTAATGCATGTTTACACAGGAATGACCCGAGGAGAACTCGAATGTTTAGTCGATAGTGGGACAACTCACACTATCCTGAGACATAGGCAACTTTTTATTCAATTAGTAGCCTATAAATCCTCTGTGACTACGATGATTGGATCATCGAACGTAATACAAGGGCGAGGCACTGCCAAATTTATGCTACCTAACGGTACCACATTCCACGTCACAGACGCTCTATATGCACCTAGAGCTACTCAAACTTTATTAAGTTTTAAAGATATACGGGATAATGGTTTCCGCGTTGAAACTCATAGTGAGGATGGGATAGAATACCTATATATTACCTCTAGTAAAAGCGGAAGAAAACGCATATTAGAAAAATTAACGAGTCAATCTAGTGGACTCTATGTCACTACTATTCGAATCTTCGAATCATATGCGATCTCCAACAATGAAATGTTGGACATAGACTCGTATAGGCTTTGGCATGATCTCCTTGGTCACCCCGGTCGTGACATGATGATTCGAATTCTCAAGAATTCACATGGACACCCTTTCTTTCGAGAAAGGTATAAAGAAGGGCGAAAAGTCAGCACAATACAAACTGTTAACCATGCGGCTCCTCCACAACGACAATTATCTTCTAAAGCACAAGAAGAACTAGCCCATGCTTCCCTAACTATGTCCATGTTACAAAACTCATTTTGCAAAGCCTGCTCCTTAGCAAAAACAGGATTGAGACCATCCTATGCTAAAGACACAAAACAAAACATCCCATTCTTACAAAGAATTCAAGGAGACATATGTGGACCGATCCATCCAAAATGCGGACCATTTAGATACTTTATGGTTCTGGTGGACGCATCGACCCGTTGGTCGCATGTTACCTTATTGTCCACAAGAAATGCTGCATTTGCAAAACTCCTAGCACAAATAATTCGCTTAAGGGCC